CAGAGACACTGACTCTCAGCTCTGGGTGCTGGAGACTGGGGAGAAGGTCGGGGAGTGTGGGGGGCAGAAAACAACAGCCCCGAGCTGTGGAGCGAGAGCCTTCAGAGAAGCTGGCCCTCTCCAGCTCTAGCTGAATACGGTTCCAATAAACATATTGCTGAAATGTTTGCTTCCGGGTGTCGTTTCAGACTGCAAGTAGCTAAAGCAGACTCTGCTCCTATATATAGATACTGCGTTTGGTCGCGTTCAGGGCGGCTTTCGTTACTACGGTCCCTGGCCGCCTCCCAGCTGAGCTCGTCCCTCAAGGGATCAGATTTGGGAATCAGAGAGTCAGCGAGGAGCCGTGACCCTATCCAGGGGTCTCTCTCCTTCCCCCCACCCTTTCTTTCCCCCCAGCCTCCCTCCCTTGAATGCTCTATACTGCAGGTGGATGCCAACTGGACCGGCTCCTCCCTGTGTTCAGAGACTCTCAATAGTAATGGTGACAGTGCTAATGGAAACTGACGAGCCCTACTATGGCAGCAAATACAAGCAAAACAGCTCCGATATCCTGCCTTAAAGGAAACACAGTAGAAACTGGGGTGGAATGAAGTGCAGATGATCACAAACAGCTCAGGCTTCAGATGAGAGGACCCAGGACCCTCCATGGGTAGAAGCAAAGGAAGGGGCAAATAAGGGTTGTTTTTTTGGGGGGGGGGTGTCTAAATTTTCCTTGTCAGTTCTCCTGGGGAAGAGATTGCTGGGAATGAGAAGGTGGGTGAAGGAGGAGGAGACGTGGACAGGCAGGGAGAGGGAAGAGGGGTTTACGTACAGAGGCGGTACAGAGCCCTGACAGTCGCATTTTTAGAGCATGTGCGCAACCAACAACAGCGGCCCCTCGAGTGAGTGTCCTTGGCTACAAAGCCCGGCCTCCACCTCATCTGGCCGTGTCCCGCCTCACCTGCCTCTGTGACTTCTTTACGTCGAAGCATCGTGGGTCTAAGCTGCCTCCCTGGTCTCCATATTCCATGTGCCTCCCCACCTCCTTCTCTTCCCCTTCCTCTCCGCCTCGTTCTCCTTCCTCTCTTCCCTGCTTTTCTTTCTTAGTCCTTTCTCCTCCCAGACTTTTCTCTTCTCCCTTGGTCCCCTTCCCCTCCCCCCTCCATTTCCCTCTTTTCAGTCCCTGCCCTCCCCTCCCTCCTTCCCCCTTTCCCCTTCTCTCTCCTCCCTCCCTTCCCCCTCTTGTCCCCTCGCCCCCTTTCTGTCCCCCTCCCCTCTTCCTTCCTCCATTCTCCCACCTCCCCAACCCCTCTCCCCCTCCCGGCTCTTTCCTCCTTCCCCTGCCCTCCCTCTCCCTCTCATCCTTGTTTATCTCTAAGCTCCAATTTCTTGCCTTATAGATTTACCTGCAGAAAAAGACACCGCTCCTCTTGCAAAAACTGTTTCAGAAATCCATATCCTCTCCCTTCATTCCTTGGGCATTTCAGAAATGATATTCCTCCCCCAGCTACCCCCGTCAAAATAAAATAAATTCAGCCAGCTCCTGCTGTGTGTCCTTAAATCCATTCCCTCTGGTCTCGCTGGTCTGAAAGCCTGTACCCTAGAAGGGGCCTCCCGGGTTTGCTGGCAGCCCAGCTCCAGTCTGATCGCCACAGATAGTGCTTGGGAGTGAAAAAGAGGGGGAAAAACCCTCTTGTTGGAGGTTTCAAAACAGATTCTACCAGCTTTCCAGTCTGTGCCCTTGCGGAGTGGCAGGGCTTAGGGGAGAGGGGTAGGGGACTGGGGTGCGAGCGTGTGTCGTAAACAAACAAGCCGCAGACCCAATAGATGCGTGTGAGTGTGTGTTTCCTTCGGCGTGTGGGGTGTTGCTCTCCCTGGCATCCCGAGTGGGTGCTGTATGAGCCTGCCTCCCCTCACACTTTCCCTGGGGTCTGGTGTGTGTGTGTGTGATGGAATTGGGGCGGGGGGATGGCTGTGTTTTTGATCTGGTCCACTGGACAGAGGAGCTGAGTCCAGCCCACCTTTCCGCACATGTCAGACAGATGGGATCATTGTTAAAAGCCTTCAGAGAGCCGTGGCCGAGCGGTGGGTAAGGCAGGGAGGGGAGAGAGAGGAGGGGGACCTCAGAAAGAGGGGGGCACCTTCTAGTGGCTTTGTGTTTTCACACATTGGAACTGACAGGAGCCCTGCTTCTCCGTGGGGGGCATCTTGAGGGTAGGGGGCTGCTGAGGGGTGGGATGGAAAGGAGAGCGAGAGGTGGGGTGTTGGTGGGCAGGGTTATGATGTCACAGCAAAAGTTACAACAGGAGGAAAACACAGAAATGGTTCAACATTTTTTTTTTAACTTTGGACTGCCAAGAGCTGAAGGAGAGTGGTGAGCAAAGGAATGAAGGGGAGAGAGAGAGAAACTAAACTGGAAGCTTGAGTTCTGTGGGGCTTCTTGAAAGCTTATGAATGGATTATTAGCAGCTGGGAGCCAGGAGAGACCTGTAGGGCACGCACGATCATTCCCACAGGAGCAGGGGAGCGAAGCAGGCGGACTGCTGCTTCCTTGCTGTGTTACCCCTCCTTCCTGAAATGAATGGTAGGAATCCTTTTTCTGAGGGTCGTGGGGGTGGCATGGGGGGGAGGAGTTTACCTCTCCTGTTCTTACCTGAGTGTCTTCCCTCCATTTTAAACTAAGCTGCTTCTCCTTTCTTTCTTTCCTGGTTTCTGCTGTCTTGCTCTCTCTCTCCCCGCTGCCTCTCCCTACTCTGCTTTTCTGTCTTCCCCGACATCTCCCCCTACCCCTTTCCAAAGCCCCAGTCTTTATTGAGCTGCTTCAGGAAAACTATAAAGAAGTGAAGGACAGAGTGAGGGGAGCAAAGGGAGACATGGACACGATAAGAGGAATAACAGTAGTGCAGGGTCAACAGATCTGTTTGGTGGTGTCCACATGGCTGTATTGATATCTTCCTGGGGGACTCACTTTGGGTCTCCAGGGGACGCAGCCCAGAGAAACAGGGCATGCCCCTGATGGGGCGTTTGGGGTGCAGCATCCTTAAAGAAATCAGTGATGGGCTGGGGCAGCGGAGTTGGGAAGACCATGAGGAGACCCAAGGCAGAAGAGGCAGTGTTGATCTCACTCCGAACTCTGTGGGCTGTAGATTTTCTGCATGGGCAACAGGAGCAGTGATTGTAGGAGGACAAGTGATTTTCCTTCGTATTCAACGGAGGACCCACTGTCTCTCTCTACCTATTTTGTGCCTACCTGAGGCCAGACACCCTTGCCTGTGTTGAGAATCAGAGCCAGGCTCTGTGTATGTGTGTGCACATGCGAGACTCCTCGAGGTAGCCTGCATTTAGGCAGCATTGTGACAGAGGCAAAAATCGCACCAGTTACTTCCCCGTCCTCGCCATTCACGTCAGATCAATTGAAAAATACTTGCTTGGGTCTAGCTGCTCATTTTTGCGAATTACTTATTCTGAGCATCTCGTTTGTTTATTTGTTCACTCAGCACATGGTGACTGTTAGTAACTGGAGTGAGAAACTTCAGAGGGAGCGATCATCATCTTACAGCAGGATAATTGGGTTTCTTCTTTTTCCAAATGTCCTGTATCCAGTGCGTTTGGGGTGTTTCGTTTTAAACCCCAAGTGATTCAAATAAGAAAAAAAAATATAGGAGGTTTGTGCAAAACAGAAGAAAGAGATGCAAGTAGTCCCTAAAAGGCTGGTGTGGGTTTGCGAGGCAGGGCTGCTCCCGACACACGTGAGCATGTGAGTGTGTGTGTGTGTGTGTGTGTGTGTGTGTGAGAGAGAGAGAGAGAGAGAGAGAGAGAGATGGCGGGGAGGGGACATACAGAGAAGAGGGCTCCAGCACCGTATTGATTGTTTGCTATTGATCGTGCAGGCTGCGGCTGCTGAGAGAGGAAGCCCGAGATGTTTCTTGGGGAAACCGAGAGTGGCATCTGTGCCCTGTGCCTCGGTGAGGTGGAGGGGGGTTGTCAGGAAGAAGGAGGGGACAGGGAGTGGGCGGAGTGATCCACAGAACTTATTAGCTTTGACATCATCGTGGTCTTTAAATGAAACAACCGAGGTGATAATTCCAGGCAGAGAGGAAGGGAGATGGGGAGCGGGAGGGACCAGAGCAAACAGGTCCCCTGAAGTATGTGCTCTTCTTTCCACTCTCTTGTCCATCTTCCCAGGGACCCACAAGTCTCCCAGAAGGTCAAGTCCAGGGCTCACAGACTCATCAGGTTATTAGGGTGTCAGACCAGTAGCCCAAAGGAGCACTTGACAGAGACCTGCCACATCCTGACCGGTCGGAAGGGGATTTAAAAACAAAATCAAAACCTGCAACACTCCACCACCCCAAGCCTGGAGCTGAGAGGAGCTCTCCGACCTGCAAGGCAGACCGGAGGCTGGATGGACACTGGCTGAGGACACACCTGCGGAGTGACAGTTAAGTGCCCTCTTGGGTCTTTGTGCTCCCCAGTGCAGTTTGCCCTTTTCCGTTAGCATCAGACTCTGTGCCTCTGCACACACGTCCTTCTGGGCATTTGTTGGAAGGTGACTGTAATTTAGGTGAAGGACTAGGAAGAGGAGTTGGCTCCTGGGAGGGACCAAAGTGAGAATCAGAGGAGAAGGGTCTTTTTGGTGATTTCAGGTCGTGAGGGCTACGTGTTTGTGAGCGAGCGTGCGTCTGAGAGGCTTTGGCTTCTGTCCACGTGTCCCTCCTCTAGAATCAGCAAGGGGAGGGGCTATTGAAAAGGGGGGTAAATAAGGAGAAACCTGAGCTCTCTGGAGGAAATTCAAAGGAACCCAGGGAAAGGAACTTCACTCTGCGAGGACGGAGCTGGAGCAGGGAGGGAGGTGAAGGGAGAGGTGAGGGTGCACACCGGGTGGGGTGTGGGGACCGCGTGGCTGGCCCCCGGAGCAGGTAGCCAGGAGAGGTACTCTTTCGGGGCTGCCCGAAAAAGTTTGGTCTGTGAACAAAACAGTTTCCCCGGTGACCGTGAGTCCACGGCTGGCCAGCTCTTTCTCCAACCCGCCCTCCATCATCCCGGTGTGGTACCCAGAAGTTCACTTCTGGTTCTGTGTGAAGAGCCGGGGGAAGCATGATGTGCTTAAAGATCCTGGGACTAAGCCTGGTGGTCCTGGCTGGGTGGGCGCTCAGCCCGGCCAGCTCCACGCCGGGCTGGCCACACAAGCGGTCCCTGGCTCAGAGGGGACGCCTGAATGAGGTGCCGTCGGAAGGAGAGCGCTGCTTGCTGGGGACCAAGGTCCGAAGACCCAGAGCTTCTCCCCAGCATCACCTGTTTGGGGTCTACCCCAGCAGTCCTGGCAGCTCTCTGAGGCCCTATCCTGTGGGAGATCCGGGTGCCCACTACACAGGACGCAGGTTGCCCACCACCCAGGAGATGGCTGTGAGCAGGGTTGGCCCAGCCCCGACCTCGAGAGCAGCCGTGAGGAGTGAGGCTGAGCAGCCAGCTGCCCTGCAGGTAGGGGACGGTCCCGTCCGGCAGCCGGAGCTGCTGGGAGACGATGATGCTCATCCTCATGGTCAAGGACCCAAGGAATCTCTAGGTGAGGCTGGGACTCGGGGACGCTCAGCCACGGCTGCCACCATGACCGCCGCCTTCACACGCCAGAGGGCACCCAAACCAGAGACCCAAAGGCAGGGTCTGGCCAAGGCCAGGCGACGTCGCCAGGTGGCGAGAGGGCAGGCAGAGGGCCTGCGCGAAGACCTCGGCGTCTCTCCCCAGCATTTCCAGCCTCGGCCTACGCCTCCCCGGAAAAATGGGGTCAGAACAAGTCCTTTGGAGGACAGTGTCCAGAGTGGCAAAGGGGGCCCCCACCGGGAAGCAGACACCTCGAATGCCCACGGAGGGGGCCTGCCCGTCTTGTACTTCTCGGGGAGGCGGGAGAGGCTGCTGCTGCGTCCGGAAGTGCTGGCCGAGATTCCCCGGGAGGCGTTCACAGTGGAAGCCTGGGTGAAGCCGGAGGGAGGTCAGAGCAACCCAGCCATCATCGCAGGTAATACCCCTCTCCTGGGCTTCCCGTGCTCCCCGGGGTAGGACTGGCGTCATTTTTGATGGGGTCAGACCATGGGGTTGCAGAGGGGGAAGGGATGGATGGAACAGGAAAACCAGGAAGGGCTGGCCAGCAAGAGGGGGTGAGAGCCTTTCTGCACCAGCCCAGCGGGGCTCCCAGCCTCACTGTGATAGGGATACAGTGATGACTGTGTGACCACAGAGTGTCTGTCCCTTGTATCAGTCTGTGGTCCTGCTCACTGTGTGGGTGCTTCGGAGACCTCCAGCCCACTCTCTCACTCCTCTTTAAAGGGGAAGACCTCTGGTTCTTTGTCACTGGGGATGAGGTTCACACACCATTTCTTGTAGTCCAGTAGGAGAGACCCAGGCAGCTTGAAAGCCCCGTGAGAGCCCAAGAACCTGGGCGGTGAGTCGCACCTGGGCTGGGCCAGGCCGGGCAGCCAGAGCACCAGACGGCCAGTTGCTCAGCCACCGCGTCTGGATAAGTGCCCTGTCTCTGAACTTAGCAGATAGCTCCTACCTGGTCCAGGTCCTGGGGTCCCCTCCTAGTCACATGTGAGCCTAGGGCCATCAGGGTCCCCTGGAAAGCATGGGCACTCACGAGCCAGGAGCCTGGTTGCTAGCCCTGGCCATCGTGAGAGCAGCCTGGGAAGGCACCCTGTGTAACGCCACGGTGTCTGGCGGAAGCAGCCTCTGGGGGCATCACCCACACCTGTTTCCACTGCACTCAGATCTCGGTTTTCCCGGGCAGTCACCCAGCAGGTCTCGGGAGAGGGTGGGGTTAGAGAGAACCATCTCCCCTGTTTTACTGAGGGGACTGTTTCAAATACGGGGTGGGGGTGATGCCTGACACTTCATCATTCTGTGTCATTCCTTTGCGCCCCCCCCCCCCACAGTGACAGAACCTTGCCCGAGGCTAGGCACATGTAGAACCACTTTAAGCTTATTTGTCTGGATCGTCCATAACACCTGTGGGTGTCTCCAGTCCCAGTACGTGGAGACGGAAACCGGAGCAGCGCAGAGCCTGCCCGGGGCCCCTGGGCAGGGAGCGCCGTGGCCGTGGCCAGGGAGCACTTGACGGCTGTGCAGACAAAAAATGTCTCAGGTCGCTGCACGCCTGCAAATAAGCTTCAGACTAGAGGGCAAAGTCTAGAAGGGGAAGCCTCTTCAGTGGAGAGTTGCAGCAACACCCCCGCTGGACACAGTCTCCCCCTCTCTGGCTGTGATTTCTCCTTTGGAAGCTTGGATTCCCAGACGCTGAGCACTGGAGAGTTTTGTGGCTTTGCTGCACTTTATTTTGGGGTGGGAGAGGGTACAGGGTGGGGGGAGAGGGTGCGAGGTGGGGCTGTCATGTAGGTGGGGGTAGAGATGGAGGCAAAGGAAGCCCTTGTTCTGGGGCCAAGTGGAAGAAATAACGAGATGATTATCTGACCAGGCTTGGCAGTGCCGCTGCTTTTCCCAGATGACACCTCCGTGCCCAAATGCTGGGGGGCAGTCTCGCCCGGGTCCGAGGCTCTGTTCACCCCTCCCCTCACAGTAGCAACGCCGGGCCCTGGGATCAGTTCCCTGGCTTTGAGGGAGGCGTTAGGGAACTATCCAACAAGAGTACACGGAGGAGGCTCGCAGACACTCTTGCTCTGGGTTGTTAAACCTCAGACCTGGGGAGGCAGACTCCTGAGTGTGGGTCCTGGCCCCTGTCCTGACCCTTCAGTGTCCTCCTGTCTCCTCACGATTGGTTCCACTTATGGTGCTCCTTGCGACATCTCCCCCATCCCCAGCCCCCCTCCTGTGACCACCTGTCTGTCCCCACCAGTTGCCCCCCCGCGTCACTGCCGCACACACACTCAGATCCTTCTCCAAAACGCCCATCTGAACCCTCTTAACCTCCCGAAGCATGTAAAATCGGGCAGGAAATCTTTTGCGGGCAGTCTAGCTTCTGGGGTTTCTTGTTCTTCAAATCAAGGTGGCCTCTCTGGTGTCCTGGCATTTCCCCTGGAGTCTGCACCAGGAAGGTCGGGGGGTGAGGGTACCTAGGGCTGTCTCCTCTCCAGCTTCCACCCTGTGTCTCCCTTCAGCCTTGAGCACATCAGAAAATGTTCAGGAAAGGTTTAGGGTAAAAGTCTGGGAAAATGGGGGAAAGGAACAGGCCCTCGTTCTTCAGGATTCTAGCAGCCACACTCCCGGGGGCTCAGGCATCCCTGAGAATAGCTCCTATGCCTCAGGACCCATGGTGGAGAACCCTGCCGGAGCCAAGGTCAAAGGCAGCCCCTCTGAGGAAGACAGGTCTCTGATTTGCACTTATTTACTCCACTTAAGAGAACGGTGAAATTTCCTCTCTTGCCCTCTCCCTGGCCTATTAGCAGGTCGAGGCCTGTTCTTGGGGTGACTGCACCGGCACCCCATCCGGCCCCAGGGGCAGGGTGGCAGCTACTGGGTCATGTTCCTGAGATGACTGACCCCCCTCCCCCCAGTGTTGGATGGCAGCTAGTAGGTTCTGTTCCTGGGACTGAAAGTGTATTCAGACACTGCGCGGCTGCACCGTGGCTGGCCTGGGTGCTGCAGGACTTGGCTCCCACACCCTTTCCCAACAGTCCCCAAAACTCAGCCTCCACAACCCTAACTTAGGTCTGGTGCCCTGGCTCTCCGTCTACCCACCAGGGGCATTTTCTCATCATCAAAGACGTCTTTGTCAGAGGCACCGGCCAAAGTGGAGAGGGACCCCTGAGGTGTGGGGCATCGGGGAATACTTCCCACACAGGGCACTAGGTGGCAGTGTTGCTGCACGCACAGGAGAGCTGGCCAGCCTCTGGAAGCCACGTAGTGGGGAAAGTTCTGGTTTCCTGGAGGGCTGTCTCCGCCCTGGCCTCTGGGCTGTGTTTAATCATCCCCTCCCAGAGGGTGGCTGGTAGGCATCCCTCAGGGTGGGCTTCATCCAAATCTTTTGCAGGGCCTACGTGAAGGGGCCACACTGGCATTTTGGGGGTTGTGACTAACTTTGACTTTGAACAACTAGTAAGATACGTGCATGTCAGATCACTATGTTATATGCCTGAAGTTAATATAATCCTGTATGTCAACTATACTTAAATTGAAAAGAGCTTCATTTTCCAGAATGAAAATTAGGAAAAAATAACATCAACTACGGTTACCTCCCTACTCTCTCCGCAAATGAGGAAGTTGCATTCTAGAACGGATTGCCAGAGGGCCACCCTTTAATGTCAAGGACAGTGTGAGCCCCACTGATGTGAGGGCCTCTGTGGCCCTCTGAGGGTAGTGATGCTGCAAATGAGACCTCATGAAGCTGCTCCTCTCCTACAGCTTGGAAGCAGGGCAGTGAGGTCTAGGCAGCTGCAGCTGAGGGGTGGGTGCCCCCTGGGGGTAGCCTGAGGTCGGGGAGCCCGTTAGGACGGACCACTGGAACTCAGCAGTGGACAAAAGCCAAATTCCACGCTGTTCCAGGGTGAAAACTCCTGCACCCAACCCTGAAACCATCCTGTTCTTCTCCCCCCCTCTCAACTTCCTTTCTTCTCCCTCACCCCCAGCATACACAGAAAAAACCCTTTTAATAGGTTTCTCCTCACCCATAATTGATTTCAAATGTTCCCTGAACTTGCCCAGCCGGGCAGCCACCTGCAGCGCCAGCCTGCAGGAGGCTGAGTCCGTGAGTCCCTGGCAGGACTGCAGCCCTGGCCCAGGTTTCTCCATCCAGCAAATATTTGTGGGGGACCTTGCCATGCAGAGCGCCATGGGGAGCACTCAGGTGTCTAAGAATCGGTCCTGACTCAAAGATGAGTCTTCCCCTGTGAGAGTCCAAGTTTCAGAGTGTCTCCCGGTGCAGAACCCAGGAGCTGGGTGGAGCTGGAGTGGGACCCCATCTCTGACGCTCATCGGCGCCAGGGCCTTTGGCATCCAGTGCACTGCTCTGAGTCCTGGTTTCCTCACCAAAAAAAATAAGACAGTGTCTTGCAGCGTATTAGGATGTCCGAACCAGTCATGTAGGTCAGTCCCCAGTAACCCACTTGTCTTTGCTTCTGACTCACCTCTAATTGCTACCTAGGTGGGATGCTCACTTTAACTCCTTAGAACGTCAGCTTGCTCGCCTGTCAAGGGCGAGTGGTGGCAGACAGGATCTTCTTACACGGTGGTCTCAAGGTGCTTGAGACCACGGTAGAATCGGAGGCCTGGAGGAATGCTTGTCTTGTAAACTCACTTGTTCTTTGTAGCCTGGGCGGTATTCATTTGAATACACTGGACAGAGGTACCGAAGTTCGTATAAGGTTACAAACCCTTCTGAGATTGCAATGAAAGCTAAATCCCTCCTCAGGAAAACGTGCAGGTTCGTGTCGTCGACGTTACTTTGAAGGTTCTCTGGGTTTCCTGGCGGCCAGAGTCTGCTGACGTCAGGTTGGAAGCCTCTTGTTTAGGACATATTGGTAGCTTTTTGTCGTCGTTTGGAATGACACCTGTGTAATGAGCCGGCAACCCCTTTTCCCAGTACGGCAGCTCTGTACCGAGGGGAGGAGTTTTGATCATGTGGAGGGTGGAGCTTCACAGAAGACAGATTCGCAGACACAGACGTGTCAACATGGGTATAAAGAGGATTTTGAGGGAGGGCCACAGGTGCTGTCTCCCCCTTTATCCAGTAGGACTCAATGGGAGCCCAGAGCTCCTCCGAGACAAGTTCCCCTGCCACCCCACCACGCTCCACATGTCCCAGCTGCCTGTTCCCTCGTTGCGCCCCTGCTCAGAGTCAGAGCGGGTGCCCTGGGGCCCGGACGTGCATCGGGGGATGAGCACCCCCCCCCCCATGGAGCTGGAGAATCATGGGGCCCCGGGGTGGGTTCCGTTCACCTGCCTCGACTAGGATGAGATCTGTGAGTTCGCTTGTGTGCGCAAGGTGAGTGAGCAAGGCCCTCCAGAAGAGAGCAGTATCTGCTGGTACAAGTAAAGCAATTATCCCCCTGCCCCTCGGTTGGCGGTCTG